TTCAAGGATCAATTTCTTGAAGAAAATGTTATTGTTTTATTTTCACAGACTCCCATCATTGGCTTAGGGTAAATCCCTCCTTGTCCCTTCTCATTGGCTCACGGCTAACTCTGCCCACATCCTCGATTGTCTTCGGGGAGGGGTTGCTAACCGCTTTGAAACTTTACTTGTGTGGTTTGGCTGCTAAACCCAGATTATGGGTTCAAACTCAAACACTGGTCTCTGATAAAACCAGATCAACAGCTGGAGTCTGGGGTTATAGATAACTCTGGTCCATAACTGCTCAATAAGATTACCTGAAGATGTTACCGGCTGATAAAGCAAATCCTGGTTTCAGTTGAATGTTTACTTACTACCAGTTTATTTTTCCAAAGTCTGTAGTTCCAAACTCTTGTCTCCGGCTGATAAAAATAGGTTCCTGTTTCGAAAACGAACTCTGTCTGATAAAACCATTGTGTTTTTAGCAACCTCTGGGGTTATAGATAACTCTGGTCTACAAGATTACCTGAAGATGCTAATGACAGTTAAAACACACAAATTACGTGCGTGATTGAGAAAACAGAGGGAGGGTGGGTAGGAGGGATGGAGGGGGTGGAGCACATTCCTCAATTCACCCTGCACACTTAGCCTATGCTACACCAGAAGAGAGAGGACAGAGAAGAAGAGACACAGACTCTAAAAGGTTTAAAGTTTTAAGACTCACAAGTTTTACAGCTTTTCACAAGAGTGATAATGATGGTAAGTTTGTTACACAAAGCATTAGCAAAGATTTTACAAAGTTTAATTTTGGAACTCGCTTTATTTTGCTGCATGCTGTTGAAGGTAATTTACAATGCTCACCGTTATACTATTTTACTGCTTTACTGTAATAACTTAAATTGTTCTTTAATAATAAAGACTGCCTTGATTCCAAATCAATGAAGAAAGCCCCGGAGATTCCTCCTTTACTTATAAGTCACTGCTATACTATTTTGTACTGCTAAATGTATTGCCAATGACACCTACTAGTTAATTAATTCAAGTTTATGTTTTATTACTTAATAATGTTTAAATCAATGAAAAAAAACCTCCAATTATCAGTCAAAAACGCAAAACGGAAGGATGTTGACACCACTTTCTCAGTTCCACATTGACATCCAGTTGGGGGTGAGGGCTGGGGGCCGGAAATGGGAGGTCAGAAGTACCTGTCGAAATTATTTTGATAAAATGTACACACCCCTCTTATCAGTTACAGACACATATCCGGTTTGGGGCAGGACTAGAAGTAACTGTCAAAATTAGTTTGATGGAATGTCTTGTATACTTTCTCTCTAAGGTGGATTCATGTATCATTATGCAACAGAGGGTTGTATCACGAGATTAAATTGTACTTCCCTTTATGCTACTCACTAAAACAAACATTATATAAAATATAAATGCAGTAGATGGGTGAATAAATAATAAGTTAATAAAATAAAGCTCTTTTACATGATGGAGTGCTGAGGATGAAGAAGGAGGAGAAGAAGCTGCTCTGAAGTCTTCTCTGAAGTACTTCTGTATCTCCGCAGGGTGAATGAGCTGTGTCTGGGTACTGTCTTTTAGTATGCTTTGGGCTCTGCACAGGCGCCCCACCTCGATGGTTCTGTTCCTTTACTCTGGCGTGTGCACTTGTTGGTATGTTGTCCGTTCTGTGGTGCAGGGTTCCAGTGGGTGGGGGGAGTAAGTAAGTATTGGTAAGTATCCGGTCCACTTCAATGTGTACAGCACAGTCCAGGAAGGCCAAACTGTTGTTGTGGACATCTTCTTGTGTGAACTTGATGTTAACATCCACAGAGTTGATGTGTTCTGTGAAGGCTTGCACTTCCTGGGTTTTAATTTTGACCCAAGTGTCATCCACATACCTTTACCATTGGCTCTGTGCTGTTCCTCTGAAAGAGTTGAGGGCTTGGCCACACAGGTGATGGTGTTTTCTTTCTCTAGATGTTGTAGACATACTATGGCCTTTTTCTTGTAACCGCTGGTTGGGTCTCGCCTCAGTGTCTCATATGTGTTTGTGTCCACAAGTAGTGTGTTTATGGAACCACCTGAAGGGGGCACTTATAGCCTGTGGATACCCTGAATGGACCTTTGTGCCAAAAGCCAGGAAGAAGACTAAAACTACAGGGGAGGAGGAAAAGAAGGTCAAACGCAACAACATTCCATACGTGTCTGGAGTATCAGAGAAACTCAGGAGGATTTTCAACAAACATAACATCCCTGTGTTTTTTAAACTCAAGAACACACTAAGACAGATACTCGTCCACCCTAAAGACCGCGCACCCAAACACAAGAGGAATAATCTTGTGTATCCGATCCAATGCAGTGAGGAATGCACATATTGGGCAAACAAACCACTAAACACTAAACAACCACTACACAAACGCATGGCTCAACACAGAGGACACTCGTTTGAGGACCACCAGGTGCACATTTTAACAGGGAAGATAGATGGTTTGAAAGAGGTGTCAAGGAAGCCATCTACACCCGGGTTGAGAAGCCGTTGCTCAACAAAGGAGGGGGTCTACGCCACCACTTATCCCCCACTTACAATGCTGTCCTTTCATCACTTCCCAGGAAACTGAACAAGCATTTCCACTTGGCCTCAGGTAAAGATGCCAACGATGATCGTTCAGACTTGGCCACAGGTAGTTTCTAACGACCATAACGACTGTCATTACAACAGCCAGGAGCACTAACGAACCAGCGGTATAAATGACCCTGGAAAACAACCCCACTGAGGTTAAATAGCTTAGTTTCCCTACTAGTCAGTCAGAACTAAAGAAGTCACAGAACAATACATGTTACAGATGTTCTCCTGGTCTCCCAGATTCCTGAAAATGTTATACAAAAAGACACATACAATGCAACGGAGACTCAGGAGTTTTTTTAATTTAGATGTGAAACTAAAATTGTGTGTACTTTACTACACATTTTATCTCAGTTTACCAGCGCCTTTCTGTGCTCTGCGTAACGTCCAGTTTCCCTCATTAGCCTTGCAGCGTGTATACTGGCCCACATCCACTCTTTCCCTTCCTGATTGTCCAAAGAGTTTATGCCTTTGCATTCCAACCACCTGAACCTGTATGTGAACCCTAAACCTTGGAACCAGTGCCAGTCTCTTCTAAACCCTGCACCTGAAACCTGGACAATCTGCATTTCAGTGGCCATATCCCCACATGACAGTGACTATTCCCTGCAGCCACAGGGAACCCTGATTGGAGAAAAAATAGAAGCAAACAACACTAAACCAACATGTAACTTTGAGGGAGAGTAACACATTAGTGGGGATTAACACCAAAATTATCCTTTTTTTAAAACAGTGCTGGTGGCTGCGTTGGTGCGGGAGTGTTGTTTTAGGGGAGTTATAGATCAACAGTTTGTAATACTAACAGGATTTTAAAACTCTGGAAAGTTATCATGTGGGCAAATATTTTATCTTTTGTCATGATGAAATACAGCGTTCATGTTACACAGTAATCCACCAGGAGTGTGCATTTGCACTTATTTGATTGACCAATGTCATGTTGTGTTGCAGCAACAGTTGAGCTGGGCTCAGCTTCTTACCCAGATGACCCTGCTTTGTTTGGCCAGAGCCCCCTGTGTTGCCAACCCCCGCTGTGACAGACTGGCTCCATTCAAATGAATGAGGTGTCCAAATCTTTTCACACTGCTCTCATGTTGGTTTAAATGCTGCCTTAAGGTACAGTCACATTTCTGTTCAACCCAGTTTTCCCACACTCAGCAATGAATGATCAACATCAGAGGAATCAAACTAGAAAAAGTGTGTGTCACATGCACTAAAATAATGAGCAAACACACATGGATAACAACTTCTTAATTCCCAAATGCAGCAGTGTTTCTATTGGTCTTCCAGGCACATCCGCCCGGCCAAAGTCTAAAAAACTCTGACCTTTGAGTCCAACATGGCTGGCTGGAGATCGAACCGAAACAGAAGGACATGCTGCACACCATTGCAAGTTTGCAATTCCACTCAGACAAAGAGGAACGAGACAAAAATCTCATACAGTACTTACATTTTATTGTAACTCAGAGCATGGGACACAAGACAAAGGTTAATTTGCGATGTGCACCCCGATGAGAAGTTCTTCACCTCTTTGATACCTTATCTCGTGTCTCCTTCTCTTCAAGCTCTTACCTGCTCTATGCTCCTGCAAGTGAATAGTCATTTTGAGAGTTTAATCTGTACTGAAAAACAAAAGCACACATACATCTCCAATTGTTAAAAATTAGCAAACCCTCTGCTAATTCTCCCACCGGCCATGGCTTGACCTTTTTTAGTGACATTCAATAACATTCCCACGAGACAAGACCACTTCTCTCAGAGGCACCTTTACACAAGAATCAAAACATAGTGGAAATTAAAAATGATAATGCATGCAGTAAAGGTATTCAAACATGTGCAACAAACGTGTAATTTGTACACTCACAATAGGCTTCAATAGAAGTGAAAAGGAAACAGAGCAAATATTCAGAGGACAGAAACAGAGGTGTGAACGGTGAAGCCCCGACAAGAAGGATGTGAGAACAAGTTTGTAAGTACCTGATAAGTGTAGCACAGCCCCCAACCCGCTTTCTCTTTGTTCTTGGATGGTTTCCCCGACCGTCTCCACTCTGTTGATAATGTGAACAATTGCTGTCCTCAAAGGAATCCCCATTTTCCTTTATTGGTAAATAGCTGAGGCTGTGTCATTTAATTTTAAAATGACCATGTCCCTGGTGGTGTTTTCTGAGTTTTTTTTTCCAAAGTTTGTCATCCACATGTAAACTCCTAAACAACAGATAAACAGAAGTTTCAAACAGAAGTCTCTCCAGGTGGGCATCTGGTGCCTCTTCAATCAGCTGCATCATGCCAATTGGATCAAGTGAGGTTGTTTTACAAGATGTTAAGATCTGAGTGTGCCAGCAAGTTGAGGTTCATCAGATCACATACCAGATTCACACCACATACCCAGCATAAGATCAACTTTCTCAAATTGTATAAATCATTTTTAATAATTATACAATAGAATATAATTCTAAATAATAATCTTTCAGGAGAGTGTAGGTACCTGTATTAATATGGGAAATCTTGGCCTTATTACTGGTTGAAATTATTTCCCAAAATGTAAACAATTAAAGGACAACAGTAAAACCATTCAAAGCAAGAACAAAGACAATTCTCATGTCATTTATATACAATATTTTCAACCACAAAAGCTACAGCAGGTTACATGGATATATACGGCATAATGAGAACAGGTTTATTACACAACTGAATGCACTCACTCACTAAAATCAATGTAAAAAATTTTTTATGAATAACAGCTTGCCATTTTTAAAAAGAAACCCTCAGTTGGGGACCAACTTAAAACTTCCTAGTATTTGTTAAAATATTTTTTTGCAAGTGAAAGCTCAAGCAACACATTCTGCATTAGTTTCACTGGTGATATCGGGGACTCAAATTATTTGGTCATAAGCTCACAAACATTACTTTCTTGCATCCAAGGAAGTTTAAATTCAAGGACAACTGGACAACTGTCAAATACCTGGGACTCCCTGCCAGTCAGTAAGAAGTGAAGAAGCCTCTTGGATAAGAGGCGTGTAGTAATAAATTATGGACTATGTGCAGAAAAACAATTGTAAACAGTCACAAGTTTAAAGGAATGATTAGTTTGATAAAATGTTGACGACACAGCTCACATACTTAATTGTCACTGTCAAAAACATATTTTCATTTGGTTGTTGTTGCCAACAAAATCACGAGCTGTAAGGAGAATCAGCTGTGGAAAGTACTTATTGGAGCACTTTTGAGTAAACAAAGACGGGAGATAACGCGAGATAAGGATCCATTAGATACAAATTCCTTTTGCTTTGCCAAAGAACTTTCAGGAACACTCTGCACATGGGAGAGAGACAGACTAAAGGAGGAGTTGGGGAGATTGTAATCACTAAGGTTATCTAAACTAATGTAAAAGTCATATAGACATGCAACACAGAATGTAAAGCTGGACCCGTGAACCCACATGTTCACAAGGAGGTGGCCTCAGTTAAAGCTTTCCTCAAGTATATGATCAAGAACTGTTTGGAACTGGGAATTTAAGGTTCAGATGTACTCACTATTAGAATTATATAGCAATATGTTCATGTTAAGGTGTGTATTTGAATTGAATGTAATATGTTTTCTTCATCTGTGTTTCTATCAAATTTATAAGGTTACTGTAGGCAAACAGCTTAGAGGCTGCAGGAAACTGGGGAGGGTCCCCAGAATTTGATCCAAAAGGATATTGCACAATGAAAATGAGGTGATACTTGTGTTTGTGAACTCAAAGAATTGAAGGAAAAGTACTTAGGAGATGACGCAGTTAGAAATCCACCATGTTGCATACGTGGCTGTAATTTGGGGGGTTTATATTTGAGTTAACAAGGAGTGGCCGTTAGACTTGATTCCAGAGAGGGGGAATGATGAGCCTCCAGCAAAATTGGGGTTAGTAATCTCTCTAAGAATTAGGATTTAATCATTGAATGATTTAATATCAGGATGATGTAAAGTTTAATGTCCAATGATTTTAGAAGGCTAATCTGAGTGAATTTGAGGGTTTTGAGTAATCTTTAGGATATTGGTAGGAGATTCCTTTGAGGAGGCTAAAGTGATCTCAATTGCAATTAATTTTCTATTAACTTCTATAAATTAATGTAATCTGTATTAATTGTCATTTTCATATTTTTACCTTTTTCTTATATAAATAAATTATTGAAAAATCTAAAGATACAGACTTGTCTCTGGTCTATCGTTGAGGGAAACCCAGCCAAGGAACAAAACCCACAGGTACATCATCAAGTATCTTCAACCAAGTCTATTTGCCCTTAATTTGAACCCTTCTTGGATAACTATGACCCGGATGACTAAGAATCTTCTCAGACATAACACACAAGGTCTGGTTAAAACCATTAAAACAAGGGTAGGCAATTTATTCCAGAAGCATTTTTGTTATATTTGTTGAATTCTCTGTGCATCCCGACAGTCGTCAATAAATCAAATGCTCTGACACATTTAATACTTGGATACTTTTAAAATCTAGCTACTCCAAGTTGCCAACCCTAGCTTTAAAGTTTTAATTAGCATAATAAACATCTGAGAAATGTGCCACTGTTAGTTGGATAATGATGACAAAGGTGAAACAAGCGTGAAAGATAAATGGATGACTGTCTTCGATGAAAAATATTCAGTTACTTTGTACTTGTATTATAATTTTAAAGAGATTTTTTGTTGTATTTGTTCTTCCGCAAACCTTTTGCTGCTTTGAACCTATACACTGCCTGAGTCACCAACGCACCACAGCATGAAAAAGGCAAGAGAGAGGAGTGCAGTCCCTAGCAGGTCTCCGAGGGCTGTGAGGTAGGGTATTGAGTAACTGTCGGGGTCTTTACCCCTCCGCCATAAACAGTGCACCATATAGTCAGCTGTACACAGCAGGATGAAGACCTATGAGAAAGACACAAGTGATATTGTAAAACAGTGATTAAGTATGCAGTGGGAAAATTACCACCCCAGCTCTGACTCACCTGAATTAGGGAAGCAGACAAGAAGGCGACTGTCAAGAGAGGACTGGGCAAAGTGTTGCCTCCTTTAATCAGGTGAATAGCGTATAGGAAGACGAGCTGACCAGGGATGACCAAAAGAAGCAGGACCTGAGCAGATCGATGGTTTGCTCCTGCCATGACAAAGCTAAACATCAGCTTGTGTGTGTGTGTGGTGTGTGTGTATTAGGTGAAGGGGCAACAGACTGCCTTTATGTAAATGTTTTGGCCTTTTGATCTTTACCTGAACCAAAGAAAATGCGGCAAGGGCTGTAGCACCTCCTACGGTCTTCAGGAACCTCTCCAGCTGAGTAATTCAAATGCAAATTGGTAGAAATACGACTAGACTGTATTGAGACGAGGTTTCCTCCAATACCTGAATAGGAAAGAAGAGGTGGGGGCAGGGTGAACAGTCTGACACGTGGAATTAACAACAAAGGTAGGATATGCATAGAAAAACTAAAATGACCACCATGTTTGTGATCAGACCTTTTACATGTGGTATCATGAGGCTCAACCTCTGACCTAATCCACATAGAAAGGAAGACCACCAATTGGGGTTGCAGCAATGTAATATTCAGACTTGTACTAGAAACTTGGCACTGCTATATTTATTTTACTTTGCAACAAGTAGAAGCAAAAGCAGCATGAAACTAAGTGTGCCCATAAACGCAGTCCTAAACATGCCAAAAAAGAAAGTATGCCAATAGTGGGAGCAGAGTTCCCGACTGGTTAACAGATTACGCCACCAGGATCCAAATCGATGCAGCAGATCCAGAGAAACATTTGTCTTCCTTCTGTGAGAAAGGTTTATATATATATATATATAAACCTTTCTCACATTGCAACTCAACTACTGATAGTCTAGGTCCGACACTCGGGTACTCCTGAGACCTACAGTATAAATTGACTTTGATGTGTAAAATTGGTGACATTCCCCTTTAACTTATCTTGACCTCTGAACATCAACGTGCACCAGCTGGAGCTAGTTCTCCGAAGGCTATTGCTGCGCCACTTAAAGTCAGATTTCCTACTTGTGAACTCAGAGAAAAAATATGTACCCTGACTTCACGAGTAGCAGCTGAATGACGTCACAAAACAAAGTCAGCACCCATGGAAGCACACACTGTAAATAGTAAACCATAAACTAGAAGGCAACAAAAAGTATATTTGCATGCATTTAAAAAAAGAAAAATACATATGATCATAAAACCTGTTCAGCATGTACATTAATGTAGAAATATGTTAGGGTATTTGGTAGCTGGATGCAGTAAACAATCTGATAATTTCATCTTCTCTGCATAAAAGTTATTGTTAAAACTGCCAAAACATTAGGAAGTGTAACCTACAACACTGACTGACTTGAGAATTACCAACTGATGTAGCTAGAGGGGTACCCAGTTAACTAATAACATATAAGCTATTTATGTCCGTTGTTTGCATTTAAACTGCCATCCTTTTGATTAACACCTAAAGCACTGCTGAGGGTGCAACTGCGTGTACAAGTTGTCACAGTCAGCCATGGTTTTCGTTCACTTTCGGCGTCATGCACCACCGTGCAACTGGAATGCTTTGAGGTTGGAAGTTGGATATTTCAACTTGGAAATTTCCCAGTTCCAAGTAGTCTGGAACGCGGCATTAGTCTTCCTTTTCAATGACCTAAGGCACAGACATCTGATGAGCTTCCCGTCTTGAGACAGGACCTCAACAACATGTGTTTTTAAGCTCATTCTTAGAAAATTCTAAACAGGTGTGATCTCCTGGCCATCTCTGCTAGAATTTCAATCAGGAATTTAGACAAGCCAATTGGAAAGTGAAAGGATGGTGATTTGTGTATCAACAAATACTAGACAAATATCTAAATCTTCTCAAAATGTAGCCCATAATTCAAAAAACCTCTTTCAAAAGAGGATGACTCACCATTTATGACTGGAGCATAAACTAGGATTCCTGCCAGGTTTGGATCTGACACAGTCTTGTCCAGAATAAGTCCCCCAATGCTAAAAGGAAGACAACCAAAACATGTTTTTAGAGCTATCTAACGTATTCTGCATGCACTACAACACATTAAGAGGCTCAACATAACAACCTTAAGCGTGATGTTGCACTGACAGAGTAACCAAAGAGAAAGCCTTCAACATCTTATCTTTTTTTATTGCATGTTGTATGTAAAACCTTTTCTTAAAAGGAATATAACACAGTTTGGATAATTATGGAGCCCTTTTGCTTGTACTTCTGCTAGCTGCGCCGTCACATCATATTTAAATAGTTTTAATTTGTTCTAAGGAACTTTTTTCTTTGAAACTGTTTGTTTGTCTTGCTAATTTGTTAATAAAAAACTCCTGTACTTAATGACATTTGTGCAATTTTAGTAGAGCAAAGGGTTGACATAATATAGTCTGGAATATGTACAGTAGTTATGTGTGTACAGCATAGTTCAGTATGTAGACAACAATGTAGTTTAAAGCTAGAGTAGGCATTTTATTTAAGTTGTATCATATTTTTATGTTATACAGTCATGGGAAGGAGAAGATTAACATTTTACTTTAAAACTCAAGGCCTGGACCTTTTAATGCCAAGGAACAAGTTAAAACTATAGATTTACTAGATTTATAAACTTGAAAATCAACACATCATCTAAGTGTAAGGTCCAGAGTACATGTCCAAGCTTTTGAAAAAATGAAATGAGAGTGAGGTTAATACCTGCTGATCACCATTGCTGTAATGATTGGTTCCCAGCCCATGCGGAGCAGGATGTGACTGGCTGGATGTTTGGAGGCGATGACCACCCAAAGAGGAATCAGGCACAAAAATAACAGATCCACCAGGTACAACACATAGGGATACAAATCTGTCAAGAGACAAGCTCATTGTTCATACATTTACTTTCAACCAGAAATCGATATAAAGCAATGTCAGGTTTCTGATCTCTCTGGGTTAGTTCCAGGGTCACAAGTACCATCTGTTGGCCAAAAGTGAAAATTACATGACCGGCCAGCGCATTAGTCTTCACTCTTCAGGTGTGTGTTACAGATTCAAATTGGCCTACCAGACCATCTTGTTGCCCTCATTTCTTTTTACCTAAGAAGGAGTAGAACCACTGACTGAAGCAGGCCAGCAAGGCGAGAGTGATGAGGTCCCCAAAGCTGGCTGCCATGGGTGTAGCCACGTTGTCAGGGTTGATTCCCATCCGTTTGGAGCCAATTATCACTCCCACCATAATAATACCTAAAAACAAGGGAAAGTATGATCGTTCATATATTATTTGATCCCATAGACACTCAAAAGTTTAGCCAAGATAGAATAATATTGCTGTTTGACATCATACTACACCAAATACATAAAAATAAGGTCTGTCCTATAGTATTAGTATTAGTATTAGTTACTGACTTTGATAAAGTGGAAAAAACAGTTCACCAAGACTACTATATCTCTGAACTCTCTTTTTAACCATATCACACATGTTGGCTATTCTATGTGACCTCCTTTTGATAACTAATGTAATATTGTTTCACATCCATTCACTTCTATCCCCTGAAACTTTTTGGAGCCCCTGTAGGAAGGGCCTCCTCACACTTTGAAAACCACTGCTCTAGACAATTTAAGTATAATGGCTCCTCAATTTTGATTATACATAAAATAAAGGTGATGTCTTATAGGCATGCATTTTAAAGGTATTTAGGAATCTTTGCTAGGAAATAGTTCAAAATATAAATTTGAGGGGGCTTTAAAAGAGAAAGAATGGTAGGATGTATGAAGATCACCCAAATCAGAGAAGGACAAAAGACAATAGATTTCACAGAAACAGCACCTGTAAATGTCTAATGCATGTTAAAGCTAATCCAACTTAGTGAGGATTCCTGAGGTCATGGGCGAAGCAGAGAGGGAGAAACACCAGATGGTGTAGGTGTGAGATTCATCACTTTCAGCACTTTTTACATTCAAGCAAAGGTCAAGGACAGCAGATCAAGGTGACGGCAGGTTGTGTTGTTACCTTGCAGCAATGAAGCTACAAAGGCAGTAGAAACGCTGGTTGAACACAAGAGCATTACGTGATGAAGGGGCATCGTTCCTTCTGCCATCCAGCCCAACAGAGTCGCTAGCAGAGAGGCTAATAGGCCAAGCACTGTGGCTTGCAGCTGTAAAACAAAGAAATATCCACATGTATTGGTAGATTGCAACAATATTCTGAAATTGTTAATTGGAAAATGAAGACCACATAACTAGTCATAAATTTGCCTTTCTCAAATTAAAATAACGTACCTGCTTTAACGCCAGGTTCCCAACGATCAGCATCCACATTTCCCTGGCAGGCTCCATTTTTCCTGCATTCACCTGACAACATGAGAGATATATTAACTCCTTAAAAATGTGTCTGCATTTCCATGACAACTGGGCAATCTCAATTTGCTGATAAAGATCATGTGATCCACATGGATCTTGAGGTGAGCATTTCCACAAAGCCAAGAATGAACTTTGAACCTCAACAGATAAATATTACTCAACAGCAGCTCACACTGACAGAAATAAAATAATACCAATCATTTTGATACACTGCACTCCTCCACTTTAAACAGTAACTCTAAACATACATAGAAATACTGGAGCCTCTTCCATAAAAATAAATTGTTAAACAAAAAAAATTCTACTCTATATTGATTATGAGTATACATATGTCAAATATTCAACAAAGGTACAAAACTGATTGTAGACAAAAATTTTGGTGGATTAATCCACAATGCTCTGGAAGCATTAACGGCAGCAGAATGGGGCCAGCTCTAATTAAACTAAAGTAAACTGCCCATTTTCATTTAACGTCAGTCAATGCAACATGTGTGTGACAGAGAAACAAGCTATATCAGATATCAACTATATCGCTGTATGCTCTCCTTTCTCTAGTACAGATTATCTTAATTGTTGGACTTTGTGCCCTGCAGCAGATTGTACTGCAAGTTGCACTGCTGTTGTGGTCTTCGTAGGTCAGTGAGGAGTTTCACACAAGGACAGAAAACCCATGATGTATGTAAACATGTAATTCTGAGAAGGGGCTGTCAGTCATTTTATTGATTATTCCCTTTCACTCCATACTCTGTTGCCCATCTCCCATTGTCATTTTTTTCTTACTGCATTCACTGCACATTCTGGGAGGTGTGCATGTTCTAAACACATTTCACTATTGCCTCATGGTATTTCTTTGTAATTGTGTATTGGATTCAATTGTTGGCTTGTGTGTGTGTGTTAAAGTGTGCACACTCACAGCAGTCGAGAGTCTAGAGGCCAGAGTCATTTCCAGGTTCCCCTTCATGCCTAACACTGCAGGGACCAGGATGAGGATCTCTGTGATTTCCTGGAACACATCCCAGTTCTGCAGTGAAAACACACAGGGCAAACTGTTATCGTTAACTGTAAAAAGATGAACCACAGTCAACACCGACAACAGAAATACGCAATGAACTATCCTTATTTTCAGTCAAGGTGACGTTCATTTGAAGGACGTTTAAATTCAAACTAGTTTTTGTTTATTTCATAGTTCCCGTGGTTCTCCCCTAACTGATCTCAGTACAGCACAAGGATCTGTTTCCTCAATATCCCAAATTTTCAAACTTCTTCTAACACTCCTGTATCAACTTATCCATAATTTGATCTCATCCCACTCCCTGTTTCCTTTCTTCCCCTTCATCTCTAGCTCCCAGACATTTGGAAAGACAAGAAATGGCAGCCTAACTTAGAAGACCATCTAAACTCTAAACCACTTCTTTATCCTCCTCCATTTCCTCACCTGAACCACATCTAGTAGCATCCCAGCAGAAACTGTCCCAATCCCGGCCAAGAGAAATGGCACCAGGATCTGAAGTACCATGGAGCAGACTGTCTCAGCAGGTGCACCGGAGCCATCTGTTTCACTTGCTCTCATGGACCCACTGAATCTAGAGCTACCGTAGAGTTTATTTGGGAGCAGAAAGTCTGACTCAGTGTACTCATCTGGCTCATAATTGAGACTGGCGTTGAGAGGTGAAACATTCCCACTGGTGCTGAAATCTTGTGGACTTCCAGAGTGTAAGGATGGGATGGTTCTGTAATTTTTGCTGGTGCCTCTGCCCATCGAGCCACTGGGGGCCACTTGCTCATCTTGTGACTTTGAGACAACCATGGTGTAAGGTTGGGATTTGCCAGGATGTTATTCCTGTTGCTCCAGCTCCTGAAAAACAGTGTAAAATTCGTTCTTTGACTTTTTCCGCTTCAAAACGGAATCGGGGAAACAAAACAACGTTTTTCTATTTTCAAACCAAAATAGAAAAAGAAATGTTGATGTTGTTTTGTATGTGTGATATTTAGATACGCTACCGTATTTTGCCACAGCTAACAGTGATTTCCACACTGCATTCAAGCTTGGCGTAAATGTAAACATATATCTTATTATTATCATATAATTAAAAATGAATACAAAATATGCAATGCATTTCACTCGCTACTGTTTGTCTGAATAGGCTGTATGCAATACACAACCACCTACTATGTGATTATAAAGTAATGAGATTTTTTTTTACCATTTACCATTTTATCTTATCACTCCTTGTACTCTTGTCTTTGCACTATTTGTATCCTGTTTACACAGGTTCACCTTTATACAGCCCTTCTGTGTGTATTTTTGAAGATTGATGTTTTTTATGCTGTGTAAGTACATTGAGAGCCACTAAACCAATCATCAATTAATTTTGTGTGTAAACATAGGCTAATTTGTCAGTAATGATTCGGATTAATTTTATAAGATAAGTCCTGAATATTGCTGTTTCCAATGTCCTATACATAAACTGAACATAAGATGGTCCTATATGACAAATTTGAGTCATCGAATTTGAGGAAATAGCTAAATAAAATAACCTACTAGCTTTCTGGGCAATCTGGGGTGTTTGTTTTATCTAGTTTGGACTTTTATAAAACATGTTTGCATTGTCTTGCAGACGCTTCCAATGCACTACACTTTGTGTCTTATTAAACAGATATTACAAGAAACCAAGCCCAACATTTGCTGGGCATCATCTTTGTCAATCGTTTGATTGGATAAGAGCACATAAATATATATACGTGTTCAAGCTGTGAAAACTACCTGTAGCCTATAGCACTGTTTTCCAACTGGTACAATTTCACAATGCTATGAGAATTATTAAATGTGTAAATGATAAAATGTCTAAGTAATGAGACACAAACAAGTAGGTGTAACATAGATGCATCTGTCAACTCAGCTTCATGTGTAACATCTGTAATGTTTTAGTGGCTTAGGTAACAGTTGTTGTGATTAAAATCTTTGAGGAATGTCAGCTCTGAACTTTGACCTTTTCACCAAACTAATTCCTCAATAGGTTAGTCCACTGTTGTCATTGTCATTATATTGTCTTATTCTATCAGTTGCATTCATTTGGTAACATTTCTCTGCACCACTCCAAAATCCCCCCCAGCACAAAAAGTACACAAAGTTATATTTGCATGAACTTTGACCATCATCAAACCAATTGCTTAAAAGTTTAGTTGTCATGGCATCTGCTTCCAAATGACTTGACTTTTCATCATGTTTTAAAACAGAAAAACAAAAGCAAAACATGCCACATTTTTGTTTTCGATCGGTTCTGAAACGGACAAACCAAAGAACCATTCATGGATTGATGCAATTGATGGGTAATAACTAATAGCATATGTTGCTAGACAAGGACAACTCAGAAATGCTCCCATAGGCCTACTTATAGATGTAAAGGTAAAGTAAAAAGTTCAGCATTTAGTTATAAAGTCAAACAAGTTATATGATAGACTATTGACTTATAGACTATTGACTTATTTCCATGAAAAATCAAGTCTGCAACTCTGGCATGTAGAAAGCTCAGCTGTTGAGTAAGGCTGTCATGTCATAAGTCATCTGACAGCACAGATTGCCTGCGTTATCATTCTTCATGCTCGATTCCCATCATCGACACTGAGGCTGCCTTGTCTGACTGAGACAATCCACCTCATTTGAAATTTCTAGGAGATAACCTGAACAGCTGATGTTATCGAGCTGCACACAAGGAATTATATAACTTTTTTTTAACACAGTCGGCAGAAAATGACATGTCAACAAACATTTAGGCTACTTGTCAATGAAGATGTTTCAAAATGTATCAAACATAATCTCAATAATCTGCATGAATCCCACTGACAGAGCTTGGAAGAACAGTGTTTATAGAAACTACTTTAAACCACAGTTTGGCAGTTAAGAAACTGAAACTCCAACTGGCTATTAATTTATTTCATTATGATAAATTTAACAACTTCTAGCCTAATCATCAAACCCTCAAAAATGGTCCTAAAAGTTACAAGCACCACCCTGTTGCAAGCCAAAAAACCTCAAGGCAATTAATTAATCTGCAGAAGAGTATGTAAATGAATAATGCTTTCATTTAGATAGTCTTCATCAAAAGAACACTGTATGAAAGGGTTTCTAGTGTAATCATATCCAAGATCATGATCAAAGTGTGGAGTACAAAATCAGAAAAAGTTTTCATTCAAATTAATTTGCAATGCTTGGTTTAAAAAAGTATATCTTCTTACAAAGATACTGCTGCAATATATTTATTTAATCCAATAATCTGAGCAACATTTGGTCTTTAGTTACAAATAGAATAGTAGAAAAGTATCTTACCAGTACTGTGAAACCATGTGAGAAGAAGTGGGCATCTAGTCTAACACTGCACCGCTAACGTTGCTAACTGTGACTCTTCCTGATGACTTCTGTCAAACTCTGAATTGTGTGCTGAGTCTCCTGTGTGACTTTACTTAAACCCATAACTGTAACCTACCCGCCTCCACACAAACACGCACACACACACGCACACATGCACACATACACACATTCACACATGCACACATATCTTACAGCTCTTTGTTAAGAGCTCTCCAATAGGCCTACTGGCACATGACCATATTATATAGATGTTATGGTTGTTGCTGCATCACATGGAGGTTTTTTATTTTTATTGTAAGCCTACTTTATTGATAACAGTAAAGTTCAAATAGCAGTAACAAATAAACAAGTTTAAAGAAGAAGAAGAAGAAGAAGCAAAGTGCCAGGTATTTTGAGAGTTTTGAGAGTTATGGTAAAGGGATTTTGCAAGAAGTATTTTACTTTCAATAAAAAGAACATATTACACAGAAGGAGGGAAAAGAAATAAATACAATTAAAGGCACAGATTGAGTAACATTAGTTAATAATGTTTTAATATTGTTTGAGTCTTTTGTTTCTTTTCTGTTTTTCATAAATAATGTTTTCCATTGGTCCATTTCATTTTGGAATTTACTAACAAGCAAAAAAACAACCACTGTTGGATAAAAAAGTAAACATTTTGGTCCATTGAGTTATTTTCAAAATAAATGAAAAATCACCACCATAAATCTATCAATCTTTAAATTGGATTCATTTAGCTGACTATTTTATCCAAAGCGACTTACAATTGCTATATATGTCAGAGGTCGCACGCCTCTGGGGCAACTAGGGGTTAAGTGTATTGCTCAGGGACACATTGGTGGATGGGTCACAGTGGGGGATTGATTGATATTCATTGCGGCACCACCACCACTATCTATCTATCTATCTATCTATCTATCTATCTATCTATCTATCTATCTATGCTTTGCCAGTGACATCTCTTCTAAACTCCATTTCCCATGAGCACTAGCGCCCTTTCACAAAATCATGAGACCCATCATGGGACCGTGTTGCCCCACTTTGTAACAGCAGTGTTTTGGGTCACCTACGCTGTCAGCATGGCGGTAGAAGGCATCGCACCTGACTGGGAGTTTGACCGTTTTGACGACGGTTCCCAAAGTAAGTACAGAGTCCAGTCCTGCGGTGAAACATAGCGACGTGCTAAAGCTAACAACTACTAGCCTCCAGTGCTAGCAAGACGCTCTGCCACTGGGTACCGTCTATTTGCTGACACGGAACAACTACTACTGTTAATTTCAAACAAATGCGTCTCAAATGGACACATTTAAAGTGATTTCGCGGAATATGTACTTCAATTGAGTGTCCATCGTACCCGGGGTAGTTGTACTTAGCGTTAACTTAATCACCGCCACCAGTCACACAGCTGATCAGTTTGACAGCCCGACGTTAATACACTCAATGTGAGAGTATGTGATATTAAAAACAGCATAAACAGAGGGCAGTGACGCCGACCTCCTTCGATTAAAGCAAACATAAAGGGGCAATGAAGTGATGTTTTATTTTAGTTTCAGGTCTCCAGCAGTCCAGTCTTTACCTTCGAAATGAATGAGTTTGGAGATTTATTTTGTGTCTGTTTCTGGCTCCTAAAATTCACATGTGCGCCATACGAACACAAACATTGTAGTTACAGTTTTTCTCAGCCGCTTTGGTGCATTCCTCGAATCACCCTTAACATTTGCAAAACTGTACGTGCATTTCTCTAAACACATCGTCCAAGCAGCACCACACTGTGGATAACCTGCGAAAACCTGTAATCTGCTCAAAACAGTGAACAAGTCAGTGCCATCAGATTGACAAGAATATATAACAGTGCACTCAAGTATATTCTGATGTAAACTATGGCTAAGATTTGTGTGACAATTATTGAAAACTGCTGCACTTTTTTCTGTATGGCATGTATTACACAAAATTACACATTACTGTGTTTGGGATTGCATTATTCACATCTACACCTTTACTGATTGTATTTTAATTTGGTAACAGTCATTGATTAGTCAAGTGCTGCATAGCACAACCGGGAAAATGGAAAAAACAGACAGCTTAATCAATTCAGGACACATTTAAAAAAAGTGGGGAAAAAAGAAAATGTGCTTGACAGATTATGACAACTGGTTCGACCATTTTGCATGTAGCAACATATGCAATGAAATAATGACTTGATGTTTTGGGGGGTAAGACTATTCAACAGAGAACCGGTAAAATACATTGTGACCAACTTGACATAAGCAATTGATGATAGGGAACAGCAGACAATTGTACATAATCATTTGCATGGATGTGCCAAAGCATTTGCAGTTCGTTTAATAGAATGAGAAATTGATTTTATGATGTGATGAAGTGACCAGATGATGTGGAGGTAGAACAAGTAGTTTTGAGAATTTCACTTCTGATCTGAGAAAAACTAAAAAGACTATTTACTTCCTTAATTTTACCAAAAGTAATGGGTCTGGTGGTACCGTTAACTGCTAACTAGATGTGGCAGAATAGCATCAGCTCAGCTGAAGTGTCTTTGATCAAACCCGTCACCCTACAGAAATACACACAGAGGTACAACTGAAGAACTACAGCAAGTTTCTGGAGGACTACACCTCTCAGCTGAGGGGCATCGAGGAGGCTCTGGATGACTCCATCGGAGATGTGTGGGACTTTACTCTGGACCCCATCGCCCTGAAGGTAAAACACCAAAAACCAGTGGCTGTACATCAGTCTGAAAAGGCTAAAAAAAAAAGTACACATTTTTAACTTGTGTTGCTTCCTTCCTAATACTTTCTGCTCTATTTCAGCTTCTCCCATATGAGCAGTCATCCATATTAGAGTTAATTAAAACAGACAACAAGGTAAATAAAGACAGACAGTTTTCCAAGTCTCACATCCACAACATTTAAAAGATAAAAAATTCTTTTGATAATGACAATTGTTTTGTGTTGTGTGCAGGTTTTGAACAAAGTCATTACAGTCTATGCTGCTCTCTGTAGTGAAGTGAAGAAGCTCAAGTGTGAGGTAAGCCTGGTCAAAAGCCTGGTTTGTCATTTTCATCCTATCTGCCTACTCTTGCCTAAAGGGGCCCTTTTGGAGGTTTTCTGTAAACAAACAAAAGTTACAATTGTAGCATACCTACTTACCTTTAATAAAATATTAATATTCAGAAATATTAATTCATAAATCCTCAGGGCACCACCAGAAATTCAATTCGCCGTGGTTTCCGGACTCCCTAGGTAACGTTATGTGATTAATAATTACACAATTATTCCTAGTCATCAGTTAGTAGTAACTATAAATCAATCAGTCAATCTCATATCGAAGGTGTAAATCCTCTGTTACAGTGACCTGGAGTCAAACAATACACACACACAGTTCCTGTGATTATGGTGAAATTTATTAACTAACTGAAGGTGGATATAAATGTGGTTAAATATACATAAAAGACATAAAAAAATGGCTAAACAAACAGGATGCAGATAATGGGAATGGTGTAGTTCAATATGAATTTAGTGGTCTTTTGTGGAAAAGAGATATATAGATAGAGATAGATAGATGGCGTCTCTTGACCTTTATTCAAAAGGGTTCTGAGGGTTCCGGCTGAAATTAGTCTCTGGGGAATTTTCGGGGTGACACCTTTATGGTCACTGAGGTCCTCACAGCCTGGTTAAGGTTGAGGTTAGTCTCTGTGTAATGTTAATATTGTCAGTTTAACAGTCCTGCATAGAGTCTGTTATCTCAACTTCACCAGAGGTGGTCGGTTTTATGGTTGAAACTGTGTTTCCTGCGCCGCTGCTGAATCACGACCGCCACTACTAAAATTTCCCACGATCATTAAACTATGCGTTACAAATGTTTTCACTCTGCAGCACTCAATGCTCGGCTCGCTTCCTCCCCTCGTTCTATGCAGAACATAGGTGACAGATTGTGTTATAAGAGCAGAGTAACTCTGAATCAGGAGATGCGTAGCGAGTGTTTGATTGTCCGAGCGGCAGAAAGTGACGGTGAACGCGAGCAGAGGAAAATATTCTGGCAGTAAATGTACGGTGTCTGTTACAGTGTGTTTGCTTCTCAAGACCAAGAAAAGTCTGTTGTTTCCCACCTGCTGGAAAAGTGAAGCCGGTTAGCGCTAAGTTAGCTCACATCTCCCCTTCAGACTGCGCAGCTGAGCAGGAAAACTTCTACAACAGTTACATAGCTGCTATGTAACTTAACATTAGCTCAATTTATAGAAAGTAAGTGGAAGCTGTATTTTATTACTGCCTAACGTTACTTGTCCACTGTTGAGAACATCAGGTACAAACTAAGACTAAACTGACGTAGCCTGCAGCTCTGTCCTGTACAGACTGACTGATTAAATTATTTTTCAGTTTTCAGTCTGAAAAAGTGGTTTTGGAAAAGAAAGGACGAGGTGACTGGAGGAGCTGAGGTTAGTAAAGCTAATTAGTGATGCAAACTAGTCCTTTTAAGCTAATGAGGAGACGTTTCTTTCTGGATTTTAATGTGCAAATAAAATGCACCTCAGAAGGGAGGAGGTTTCTCATGTTGCCTATTTTTTATATTAATGTCTACAGATAAATGTCAGAAGCTGTAAAATAAAGACACAAAAGGCAAACATGAACAGTCGTATCTCTGATCATTCTGAGGTCATATTAACAGGCTTTTCCTTCCGCTAAGGCTTAGGGGTGATGCCCAAAACATGCTGTGCCATCACTGTAAAATCACTGTGGAGCAACAGAACCAACCAAATTACTTTCTCCAGATCTAAAGGTTGTAGTTCCTCCAGTAGACTGATGTTTGGGTGTTGTTTATTTATTATCTGCTCTAGCATTTCCAACTATTTGTTGAACAATATGGTGCTGTTTGTCCTGGCCCCGCTGCCCGCCCCGTTTCTCTCAAGGACAGACAAAGAATTTGGAATCTCCAAATTGTTTAATATAAAATGATCCTCTTCCCCGCCTTTGCTGTTGATCGGTGGAACAGCATGACACTATTGTCCTGCCATGTGTTATTGACTCAGCCACATGTATGAGTGGAAAAAAATAGAGATCCACATAATGCTACCACAGGGCTAAATCTCCAGAGAA